CCTCCGCCTCTTCGGCAGACTTTCCAACTACAACTAAGGATGACTGCCATCGTTCCGCCTGATGTGGTGGTGAACTGACCTCCTGAGGACGACGATGCAAGTCGAATGTCAGGCCAGATGCTATCAATTCTTCCACCTAACAACACCTTCGATGCAATAAATAAAAACTGCCTGATGCATTCATCGTCTTGGCCCATGGCTTCCTTGATTTGTAATTCGAAAAAATGCATCCATTCCGTTGCAGGCTTCGTTCCGTCCTTCTACCGAACTGTGATGGAGAAGGTTTGTTCAAGTTTTGCGTTGCCTTCATAGCGATAGAGAAGGCAAAAACATAACTGTTCAGGAAGCGAAGTCCTCCAAACGGATCCTTCCTCTATGGATTGAGGTCTGGTTGGTGATGTCAGCCATTATTTGTTTTGTTGATGTGTTGTTCACAATGCTTCGACCTCACACTACTGAAGGAATCCTCTCAGGAGTATTCTTGGGATGTGAGTTCAACAGATACGGTTTCTTTTTTTATTGCTGGTTTACTTGGGCTACGACCGAAGATTATGTAGAGCGATTTCATTCCACTGATGTAATCGGTAGCAAATACAGAAGAGCACTCGGCGTTGCTACAGCGCAAAATCAGAGTTTTCCTTTTTGAGGGAGCGCTAAATGCCCATGGAGAGTCACCTATACCTTCCTCAAAGGTATAAGGCACGATAATTTGGTACTCGGTCTGAAATGATAGCAGGGTGCTACATAGCAGGGAAATGGCGAAAAAGCGAAGTGAAACGGTCAAAAACCTGCAAAAAAGCTTTTGTTCTACACGACTCAGAAAGCATTTTGGACGAGTTTCCGTTGGCATCGTGCCAATAACCGCTACGGTAGATACGGCTGCATTATGTACTCATATATCCATGCAGCACCGCAGCCGCTTCATATCAATCCCTTCGCTTCATATTTTACTTAGCAAATGAAGCAATACGAGCACCAGGTACGGTCCATTTGTGGGTGGGCGGGTGCAGTGGGCGTTCCGGTCGGTATGTTGCAGCGTGGCAGGGCCTTATAAGGGTACCTCGCTTAGACAAGGGGCCACGCAACGCCTGCTGAGGGACGCCTGCTAAGGGGCGCTGAATTCTGTCCTCCTAGGCGTATTAATCCTACACGTTTTGGGATTTATTGTGCCACTTGCCTTCGAAAGCAGTTGGCAGGATAAATCCCTAAGACGAGCAGATTGATACGCCTAGCAACCTAATCCCAAGCGCTGCGTAGCGTCTTTCCCAAAGAAGGTACGTCTGCAAGGCCTTATCAAGCCGCAACATACCGACTTGACGCCTACAAATGGACGACCGTACCTCATGCTCGTATCGCTTCATAAGCGAAGTAACGTATGCGAACGGATTGATATGAAGCTGAGGTGCTGCATGGAATATATGGGTGCATACGTGCAGCCGTATCTACCGTAGCGGTTATTGGCAAGATGCCTACGGGAAACTCGTCCGAAATTGCTTTTTGAGTCATTAAGAACGAAGGCTTTCTTCGCAGGTTTTTGACCGTTTCACTTCGTTTTTTCGCCATTTTCTCACTATATAGCACCCTGCTAGCATTTTAGAACGAGTAAAAATATCATGCCATATGCAACAGCAAAGAGCACCACAACATAACATTTTTATCGAAGCAGAAAATCTCAATTATAATTGTTCAGGGAACTTGTATGCCAGCGTGGACGTTCGCTACGCCGATGAAACGGACATTGTGACGTGCGGTACGGGACGAGTGATGCTCGTTGAAATTATCATGAATCTGGTCGCCGTAGTCATGGTAAAATCTATCGAAAATTTCATCAGCGGTTTTGTTACTTTATTTACTAGTTGACGGTTTGATTGCAGTCTCGACGGCGATCGCGTCACACACTTTTGACCGCATTCACGACAAGTGCCTTCGTTTTCTGGAAAACTCTCTGGTTCCTCACTCTGTACGTCATGCCTCCACCAGGTAGGGAATAACTGGCTCCGCTGAGTGCGGCTACCCGTTGGTGCTGCTACTTTTTTTGCATTTTATAGTTATCGAAAACCCTGCAAGGAGCAAAAGGATTCAATTTCTATAGAATTTTCTGACCAAAGACAAGCGTACCCTCACCTGCTAAGTGGATCCTTGCCATAAGCGAGGGGAATGGCTCCGTCGCTGCACAAGCGCACCACTTTCTCCGCTGAAAAGTGCACGGAAACGGGCTTGAGGATGGCGCTCTTCTGCTGTTGTTTCAAACTCCGTACGCTTTTCAACGTGCTACCATTTGCGTCGGTGCTGATGTCCTACAGCGAGCAACATGAATGACAAAATGCCTACCGCGACCAAGGGTTGAGAACAAATAAGTAAAATGTAACAAAATAAGAGGGCTCAGAAAAGCAACGCGTTCGATTATGGTTGCCTGGCCTGCGACTCGTTGGGCGACGAATTGCGGTTGCTGGTTTGGTGGTCGGTGGGTTCAGACATGCATATTAACATCCATATCCTCCGGCCCCGTACACCAATGCACTTTGCACGAGAGGCGGAGGGTAGTGAATGGCTATATGCCTTGGAGGAGAGATGCACATTGCTCCAGTTGTTGAGACCCTCCAAATGTGAGCATAAAGTCCTCAAACAGAGTCTTGGCCGCTGCTGCAGTATGAGGAGAAAGGCGAGGCATGGCTCGCCGAGAAATTACACTCTTATGCCATGGGCTCTCCATCTGCTTTCGAGGAATGAGCTGGTAAGAGAACGCAGCCCATTTTACGCAATGCCTGATTTGCTGGGAGATCAGCACTGTCCTGGATAGACAAGCCATTTTTCCCGCCAATTGCCTCTTCGTCATGATAGCATTTCTGAAAAAACGCACTTAGGGAAACCCCATTTAGCGAAGTGTAAATCTCCTCATCCTGCTACCATCATTATCTGCTTAGATTTACGTCAATGGCGCCAATGCTTTCTCCCTCCATATACAACTGGTAATTGCGCCACCTGATAAGGGGTTCTGGTTTTCGAAGAAAGGGATTGCTTGTTCGGCAACTTGTGATCTGAGCTCAGTCCTTCTAAAGATAAAACCGACGTACCTTTGCGTTCCAAGAACTAGAATTTTGATGTATATTGTACACCAATTATTGATTTTGACCATCAATGTTCTACGAATGGATCTGATGTTGCGCTCGTGATTTCTCGCTTACGCTGTATTAACTGGCAAAAGTTCCAATGGAAACGAGTACAAAATCTACAGCACCATTGGAGACGAGCTGTACACTCACCTGGGAGGAACGCTGTACCCATGTGGGAGGTGAAGTCCGCAACTGCTGTAGGTGGCTGTCTCCGCAAAAAAATGCACGTAAACGGGGCTTAGGGTAATGTACCCAAGTGCTATCCTATTTTCCGCCTACGCTATCCTCAAAGCGCAGCACTTGCGCAGCTACTAAGTCCCGCAGTGAAACGACCACGTAAAGACGCAGAGGTAAGAGAGCGCTGACAAGCAGCAAATGGTTAAGCTGGCTGTACAGCAGTATGGAGACGGCACCAGAGTATCAGTACTCTCCTGCCCGTTCCCGTGCACTTTTGACCGGAGAAAGTGGCACGTTACTCCAGTCATTCTCCTCACAAACGGCAAGAACAAGATACACGGAGGTGACTGTACAGTTTGACTTCAAGCTAGTTCATCATGAATAACCGCTCCTATGTCTTTTTAACGCTCCTTGAACTACCACAATGAAAGCTCTCGTGGTTAGAGATATTACTGACCAACATCTAGGTGACGGTTATCGATTTAATACTTAGCATTGTCAGGCTATTGAATCTGCCTCTTCACGTTTCAGGAAATCGATCGTATTTCACCGAAAGCAGTTCCTATCTGGATATTTTGCTCATATTCTGGATCCCAAATGGTAAGCAACTTGTTTGTAACCAAGCTTTTTATTTTTGGTCCGTTTTTTATTTTTGTTATTATTTATTTCGGTTTATTATTATTTATTATTTATTTTTATTACTATTTATTTTTATTATTATTTTTTCTAGGAGGCGGAGGTGGTGTAGTGACAAGTGGCGCGCTCACCACTCGCGCGGTCCTGGGTTCGAATCCCGGGTCGACTCCCGCCCAGGCCAACCAAGCCTTCTACCCCCGGGGACGGTAAATTGGTACCAGATTCGTCTGGGAGGATAAAACACTGACTTGTACATCGGCTGGCCCCGCAAGTCATTGTATAGGCCACATCGCATTCAATAAGCCACTACGATTCTGAATGGAAGTAGAATGCGTGCCGCTATCCTTTCTCCTCTCTTTCCACTCCACCTTTCTATGATCATCATGCTCTGTGGCTATAGAAGCGGAGATGACCTGACTGGTAGACTTGATGCCAACGAGCGAGTCTCCACCATAGAATAATCGTGATCTCTCCTCGTCTGGTACCTTTACCTCTTGTCAGCCAGAGTCCACAGCGGAAAGAGAACTCCGTTTCTCCCTATTATCTCCATTCCTAGCCACCAAATGCGACCCCGTCGGGGATTTCTCGGTGATTCCTTACCCTGTTGTTGATACTTTTTGCCGTTACTTCTCACACTGCTCCAAATAAACGTGAGAAGGCCTTTCAATTGTTGTTGTTGTTGCTGTTTGTTGTTGTTCGTTGCGCTTTTTTCACATTCCATTTGCCCACTCAGGTTTCATAGCCGAACC